ATGAGAAGGGAGACTTTCTCCACATGCCCAAGGCACCTCCCACCTATAAATAGAGGCCTTCTCTTCATTGTTTAAAATCAACGAACAAGGATCAAGAGCTCCACTTTAGAATAAGATGCTACATTCCAATAGAGCCTAGTCTCTAATTAGCTATAGAGCAAGTTGTGGGAGAGATGTGAGGAAGAGATCGGGGAAGAGCCGGATCTATCGGTGTCTCCCCACTTTGTACCTCAGCGAACACCTGCGCTACAATTCTTCGGGATTTCCCGCTAAGTGAGTGTTCGTGTTTCCTTTGGCGTAATAGTCTTTCGCTTATTTAAGCTTTATTCTTATTTTTTTGCGGGTTCGTTGTTCGTCTTTTAGATGAATACTCTAGTATAGGGATTCTACTATCGGTAGAGACCTGGCCAACACTAGAGTAGTAATCGGTAGTGTAAACATGGTTTTTATACTAAAGGTTACCTTCATTTGCCTCGTACTCAACGGTTGAGGTGGTAGGCGGCAGGTGGTGACAGCCCTGTCCGTCCTTTGTAATCCCCCACGTTAGAGTTACGGCGTAGAGCTACAAACCGGGGGAGTTTGGGAAAAAGCCAAACCTAAGCCGGTGCCCGAAGTAAACAAGTATGACTAGAGTTTATCTAACCTTAGACCTTTTAGCCACAAGAATCCTTCTCTACCTTCTTCATGTTCTACCCTTGCGTTGTTCCTTAGACAAATTAGATAGAAGAATTACCTCCGTTCCCTGAGGAAAATAAGATACCTGAATACTCACGGGTGAAGGCTACAACGGTAATTTCGTGCACTTGCGGATTCCTCTGTTTGCGTTAAGAAATACCAACAAGCTTTCTGGTGCCGTTGCCAGGGAACGGTTGCTATTTTCTTCGAACCTAGTTGGTCCTCGTATATTTATCATAAAAATAAAAATAGTTATTTGTTTTCCTTTTTAATTATGAAGCCAATTTTAAATCTAATCCCTTCTGCTTCAAAAGGGGAGTTTCCTATGCCACTTTCAAAACAAAGTTTCCTATCCGGCAAAGAACTCCACCCTAGGCTCAAAGCCTTAGTTCGGGCACAACCCTTCTATGGTTATGATAACGAAGATCCTTGCCATCACCTGTACTATTTTGAGGAAACGTGTTCATGTTTAAGTATATCAGGCATGACACAAGAAATGCTAAGGTGGAAATTGTTTTCGTTCTCTCTTAAGGGAGAGGCGAAGCAATGGTACATTAACGCAGTAGGAAGCACGAATGAAGACTGGGATGAACTTAAAAGCAAGTTCTGTCTTGCATTTTTTCCCATGTCTCGTATCGACTCCCTACCAAGGGCGATCCTTGATTTCAAGCAGGATGAGAAGGAGTCGATAGGTGCAGCCTGGGCTAGGTTTTCAATGCTATTACATACCAACCCAGACTTGTCCTTACCCAATAGCGTGCAATTGCATCTCTTTTGCTCGGGTCTTGACAAAGACGCTGCCCTATACCTTGACATGACCGCTGGAGGATTTTTCAAATGCAAAACTACGATGGAACAAAAGCAAATCCTTGAAAAATATGCTTCTTCTGTCATAGAACCTAAATCCCTCCAAATGAAGAGTATGTTGAGTTTTGAGGAGTCCTCACTAGCCAAATCCAACAATGAACCATCCCTAGATTCAGCTTTTGAGCCCTCACCCGACCCACGAGCACCGAAGGAAGCAATGCTTTATCCTTCGGAACTCCCTATCAAATTCAAGGATCCCGGCAATACCTTAGAATTTCTAAGGCACGAAGAGTACCTAAAAGAGGTTTCCCTTAGAACGAAACCATCAAAAGAATGGTTGATGGAAGTAAAACGCTCTTCTGAAGCAATTCAGATTCTTTCACCTTCCATAGCCATGTCTTGTTCATTTAAGGGAACAACTCTAGAAGTCTTGCACAATCCCACAGTCGAGACAAATATCATGTCAGAATTCTTAGTGGAAACCCTTTTGGGAAACACACCGCTAGTCTCGACCAATAGGCTCTTCAAAAGTCTATTAGGACTAATTTTCGAATGTTGTGGGATTGCTAAGGCCGTGCCAATCCAAATAGAGAAAACCGAGGTACATATAGACTTCCACATCTATGCCATCCTTGACTTTAAGCTTCTGATAGGCTACCCCCTTGAAAAACTTTTTTAAAGAAAAATCTTTGGGAAGCCTTGATGAAAAATTGGGAACATCTGCTTCTGTCACCCCTATTCCTTACCCAAAAATCCAAATGGTGAAGCAGCATCCTACGCCCGAGGAAGTAAATTGCGTAGCCTCGTTCGTTCCACCTAAGCTTGCTTGTGAAATTGAACACCCATTATCACTTTCCCTCGAACATAAGCTATGTCCCTCTGGCCATCCAAATATCGCTCTGAATAAGAACTTTTGTGCCATGGACAATCTTGAGGCATCAACTCTAGAGCTCCAAGAGGAACGTTCCACAAATGAGCATGAAAGTTTTTTTTTTGAAACCCCTCATGCTTCGTGCTCACTTCTTGAGTCTCTAGGGTTGGCCGTGCTTAGTGCCTCATGCTTTTACGAGAATCACAACCATCTCTTGATTCTCGTTGTTAAACTTTTTAAGAGGATGATTGTGGATGCCTATGTTTATCACAAACATTGCAAATCTCGTAGTTGCATGATGGCACTAACCTTGTAGCTTGAGCGTTGAAGTTTGATGCCTGGTGGTAATGTTGGGAACTAAAACCACCATTGATAGTTGCAAGATGGAGTTCCCCTGGTCAAGCTTAAGGACCATG